TGTACAGAGCTCTACGGCAAGGAAACCTAAGAGAGAAAGAAATATGAAGAGCTTCCCGTTCCATCTGCCCTTAAGCTGGCACAGCTGTAATTCTTGTTGGCCTAAGGAGCTTTCGGCCTGCCAAAAATGATTCTGCTAGCAATGTCCCGTCACGTATGGCTCATTTAGAAGACAGCATGTGCTTTTTCAGTTTTACCCAGATAGAATCCTTTTATATTTGTAGGAGTTTGCCCAAACAAGGATATTAGGCAGTGTAAATGGAAGCTACCTCTCTCCTCGCAAAGTGATGCATCATATTCTAAGGGAATAAAAGGTGTTACTGGACTGAAAAATTATTTTCAATCTTTACAAGCTAAATTATGTGACAGCTTCAGAAAGGAGATTTGTTGTGTTATTGCCAGCAACTTTTCTTTTCAGAAAATTGATTTAATTGGGAAGAATTCAGCACTCTTTACAGAGCTAAAATTTCATTCAGAACCAAATCATGAACTCCTCATACAGTTAAAAGTATGTAGCATTTTCTTAAGTTACGAATTTCAAGAGTCAGTTCTTCAGATATGTATCAGAATGAGAAACTGAAGGACTTCAGAAGGGAAAGGAAATCAATACATGAGGATGACAATTTCAGAATCAGTGGAGGCAATTAGGTGCTCGAGCCCTGTTGAAAATGAATAGGATTTATTCTGTTAACTTCCTCCGCTGCTGTGAAAATCCTGCTCAAAGTTGGTGTGTAGCTGTTAATGAAGCTAGTATGCTACAGCTGCTTGTTTGCTTTGAAGAAGCAGGGGAATGGAGTATTTGTGTAGATTGTTTCTTTGTTTGTAATCTCAAAGTATAACAAAATTAAAAAGGGAGGCAAGCTTGGAATAAAATTTACACTAGAAAATAATTATCTTTACTGTGTTGGGCCTAGTTTTCATGTTACTCTAAATGTAGGATGCTGCAGAATACCCAACTACACCAGGTTCCTGCTGAAGCACTTCAGAATTTGCGCAGCCTCCAGTCTCTGTGAGTATACTTGATATATCAACTTGTAACCTTGTACTAACAATAATGTATTACCTATTAATTACCTCCTTAATGTGCTGAACCAACTTTTTGTTTAAACTCTTTGAGATGCTTTTCTTCAGAATTGTACTTACAGGTAAACATCAGAAGAGGCTAATTTCATTCCAGTAACTTTGTGACATTGGCAGCTGTTTTACGGTGTTATAAGCTGGTTCATAGTCTGAGAAAATGCTCCTTGCCCTGCAATATTTTCTGTCTGTCAAGAAGTGTATGATCCCTAGAGCACTGGTCTTTCCCGTGAGAAGAATCCTAAATGTTATTTCATCTAGTGTAACTTTTTCAGCAACATTGAAAACACCATTAACTCATGAAACAAAGTATACTAGAGGATGCTTAATTATAGTCCGTGCTTCAGGCAGGTCTCCATGTTTATATTTCGTGACTGCCTTGCTGACTCAGTCCACAAGCTTTAGTTTTAACAGAACTTCTGCCAAAATTCCTAGACCAGGAGTGAGGATTGGCTGCTTAGTAGTATGAATGAAATTATTTTGAAGAGCTTCTGCCCTGTAACACAAGAATGGTTGTACCAAGTCATGCTGAAAGCTGGCCTAGCCCATTATCCAGGCTTGAACAGCAGATGCCTGAGGAAAGTAAGAGGTCAGGTAGAGAATACAATAATACTTCCTTGGTATCCTGTCCGAGCTGCTAGAGATTTCCATTCAGGGACTCACTGAGCCAATAGTGGTTTCTTTGTATTTAATAGTTCTTGAAGGATTTCAGTCCATGAGTTGGAACAATTGCCTTCTGAACTCATTTAACATCCACGATTTTTTGTGGCAGTGTATCTGCTGATCAGCTAACTCTGTGCAGTGTGATAAAGTACCTCCTTTTATTTACTTTAAATTGTCCACCACATGTGGTGTTTGCTGAATGCAGTATCAGGAGGGGGGTGTGAATTGCTGTTCCTTGTTGATGTACTCCATATTTTGTAGACCTCCATTATATCTCCGTTAGTCATGTTTTTCAGTCATAGGATGTTGAATTGTTTCGTATGTGGGAGCTATTCCTTTCTTCTAGTCGTTCTTGCCACTCTTTTTGGAACTTTTTTCCCCACTTCTCTTATATTGTATTTGAGATAAGTCAAGGGGGAGATCAGACTTGCGCAGAATGTTGAAAGTGTTTGCATGCCATAAATATGGCACGATGATGCTTTTTTTTTATTCTCTTTTATTCTTTTATTCTCTTTCCTTTCCTGTTAACTCCACAAACTTGGTTTTGTTTAATGTTCTTAACCATTACTGGACACTGAGTTGTTGTTTTCATACTTATTTATTACAACCCAAAGACCTCTTTCTGGCATGTTAATAGCTACTCAAGAGTTCGTCATATTAGGTTGAGATTGCCTTTTCCCCAACTGCATCGCTTTACGTTTATCTACACTGGAATCCATCTGCCATTTTATCACTTGGTCAATTCCATATCATGAATTCCTTCTGCAGCTCTTGCAGTTAACACTTTGCATCCACAAGATTGCTCTTGCTGTCTCAATGCAGGATGCAATAGATTCTATTTCCAAATTAGCCGCAAAATTTCATTGTTGCTTGATACTTTAGAAAATGTAGTCCTTATTATTTTTGTATCTGCTAGTCTTGAATGTGCAGCACAAGATATCTAGATGATGGAAGACAGGCATGCAGCTTCTTTGGAAGCAGTAAAATGCTAGCTGACTCTTCTCTATGATTTACCTAGCTACCTCATACTTCCACAGAATTATTTTGAAATGTACTTATTTTTCTTAAAAGTTTCAAACTCTTAATGTGGAAGTCATTAGAGAAGTTCAAATACCTGTCACAAAGAGTGTTCCTGCAGCATATGCTAATCAGCAGCCTCACAGGTATAAAAGTCTGACGAAAACGAGGATAGAGTGAGCGTGTATACCACGCTATCCAGTCTGGTCAGAGTTGAGATGTGTCTATCAGTGGGGAGCATACTGCACTGAATGTGTTCTCTTCTTTTTTGTGTGTATAAAGGAGATCTGCCAGGCAGTTAACCTCTTTTACATATGTTCAAGTCAGCCAAAGTCTTAAGAACAGACTTAATTGAATGAATGGATTTCCAACAAAATTGTCATTTATGTGTAACTTACCACCACACACACACACGTCATACGGTGTTAGCTACCAGGTTTTTATGTCCTTCTTGAACAGTGTTTATCTCCTTTATATACAGAATGTTTGTTAAGGTTCCTAAAGGTGAAACAACCCTAAGAATTAATTATCTTACAATTGTTATTTGGTAAGTGCCTTTTTTCTTTATTGACTAGACATAGACTGAAATATCTGAGCCGTATACTTTTGAGGTTACAGTTCTTTCCTTTGATCTTTTAAAAAAGTCATGAGAAAATGCTGGTCTAGTGACTATATTAGATTTTCTTTCTGCTAAACAAACAAAAAAATCTTGCTGAGATCACATCATTCTATACACATTCTGGACCAAAACACGATAAGCCAAGCAAACAAGAGTTTCTTTGTTGCTCTGAGAGAAACTATTGAATTTTCAATACAGTTTCTAAACAAAATGATGGTCTCGACGCTCATTCTTTGTTGCAAATATCTTTCCCTGAGGTGAGGAAGAAGCCGAAGAAGTAAACCGTCGTTTATGTACTCTGTGTAAAGGACTGATATCCTGTGACAGAATCAAAACAGAGGGAGAAAAGCAGTGGCTAGTAGAAGCCTTCAAACAGCTGTGTAGCAGACCCAAGATAGAATGATATGGGTTTGTACAGAAAAGCTGCTATCAGCTGAAAGAGGATCAGTGGCAAGAGAGACCTCTTTGAGGAAAACTATTGTTCTTTTGTTTGCTGAAATTGGATTGTACCTGTCAGATAAAGGTGTGCAGAGATTCAATTTCTTGTTTCATACAGTCTAGCAATTTTCTGTTCACAAGGTGACTCTTGCATTGGTTTCTGATCTACAAAAGGAATTATTTCTTGAAACCTTTGAAATAACAGGAGTCTTTTCAAGAACGTAATTAAGAGGCTAAAAGCCTTCACAAAGGCACGTTTTCTATAAGACAGCAAGTTCTTATATTTATTACATTTAACTATATAGCCTGACATGATTCATGGAAGCCTCATTAACCCTTTTCCTTAGGCTAGAACAGTTGCAAGAAAAAGAAAAAGAAAAAAAGTGGTGACAGGACTCAAACCTCTCCCTTTTGTACTACCCAAGAAAGAGGGTAGAGGGACTGGTAATACTAACTGCCTTGTTGCCTTAATGAATATGAAGAGGGTTGTGTTAAAATCATTTTTATATAAATGTAATTGTATGCATGTGTGTATGTACACACGCATACAGATTTTCCATGATCACTCATAATACAAATTCATCACAAATTTTTTGCAGAAAAAGGTGCTTCTGGGTGATATTCCTTCCTTATCCTTTTGCTCCAGGCTCAGAAATGACAGTCTAGATATCAATATTGGCAGACAGACTAGTTGATGTTAGATGGCCTGTGGTACATAGAGCCAGAAGAACTAATGTGTTGCAAGGATGAGCAAAGTTCCTTCCTCTTTCTCAACCAAGGTGTAATAATACTTGTGTGCTGAATACTTGTGTTTGTTCCCTGAAAGCGTTAACACAAACAATTTTTTTGTTAGGAGGAACTGATTTGCAGATCTCCATTTGTAAATGTTACTAAACAAAGAAGGAAAGTGTAATTAACATTGCTGATGGAGAAGCAAACCTTCTGCTCTTCTTTAATTGGTCTATTGTAATACAACACTTCACAGTGAATACTACAGATGAAACTTCACTCCCCTGTTTATTTTCTTGTTTAGACATCATTGTTAATGAGCAGCTTTTACTCTTGCTTTGTCAGACGCAGAAACAGTCAAGATCAAGAACACATAGAGTAGGATGTCACTGTCCATACCCAACCAGTCATTGAGGACATTTAAAAGCAAGAACTTTACAGAAATGCACATCACCTGCTTTCATTCTTGTAAAATTTGAGAGGACTTTTACTTTAAGATTAGAAAACAGGGCAGAATCCAAGATAGCCCCTCTTCCAAAGAGCTGGAAACAGTTGATAAACCATCTTTTCTCCCTTGAAACCTGCAAAGTTGGATTTACTGTAGCAAACGAATTTGATTTTACAGGTAGGAAGATGTGAAAGTAGTGCCAGTGAAATTTGTTTCAAATTGCCTAACGGAATTTTAAAACACTAACGTTTTATTTTTAAGATATTTTGGTATACGTGGAGCACATGAAGGTGGCACGGGTTACCTGGAAATAGTCTAGGCCATTCTTAGCTATTGCCTGGATGGAGCACGCCATAAAATGGAATTTTCATCTCCTTCTCTCTAGCCTTGCAAAGATTTGATGTTTCAGGAGAAGTTATCATTCTGCATCAGAACAAACAACTGAAGGCTTCCATAGAATAAACTTCCAAAATGCTTCCAATCCAATCTTAAAATAAAAAAGGACTTTTTCAGAAATGATAACCTTAAACTACTTTTTTCCCCTCAGTTTGATGCTTGTGCTAATAATCCTGATTTTTGGTTAAAAATCAACACTTTCCTGTAAAGATAAAATTACTTGGAAAGCACATTTTCCCAAGAGAATTGTTTTCCATGAAAAGAGCTTTAGCAAAGGAAAAGAGCTTTAGCTATGATTTTTCCATGTCATATCCCATGATCATGAAACCTGCAGAAGGCATTATCCTTCTTAGGAAGCCTAGTAGTTCAGCAGTTGCCCACAAACTCCCTGAGGAGGAATTTTCCACAGTTTAAACCGGGGTTGTGTGTACCCAGGCATGCATCAGTACACATATGCAAAGATGTCTCAAAATTCAGTATTACAGTCTCCTTATTTTATTGCTTGTCTGTCCCTTTGAACTGTTAGAGCCCTGGGGCACATTAGACACCAGAAGAGGAGCTGAAACATGGAGCACTAATACAGCGTTGGACCACCCTTCTCAGTTGCAGATGCTCTTCCAGC